TAGGCTCTAAAGGCGTCTCCTGTGTAGTAGAAGCTGGTGTTTGGCTTGACGGTCTGTATTAGTCCCAGGCCTTTCTCCGTAGTAGTGTGGGAAAGTTGAGTTCCACGGAGACGGCAGGATGCTTTATGAGAGTTAGGAGTGCGGAAAAACATGATTTGGCATTTACCCAAAATAAATGCTAGTCTGTTGTTATTCATCGACTCTGCGAGCGATCCGAGACCACTTTGCAGCGCACCCGATTCCGCTTTGAGTGCCCCAGTTCTCCGTACTTTAACATCGTTAGCATGAAGCGACATAGGGGAGTTGAGACAAAATGTGAGGTCATTAACAAAAAGGAGAAATAGCAGCGGACCCAGAATCACTACTTGCGATACAACAGATGACGATGTCCTGCATATCGAACAAATTCTGTTGACTTTTGTGCGGACTTCTCTGCCATCTAAATGGTCCTGCAGCCAGAACAGCTCCTGACCCTTGGTGCCCAACCTTGATATTCTGCGAAAGATATTAGTGTGCGGGGCCGTGTCAAAGACCACGTCAAAACACAGGAGGACAACATGAGCAGGAAGCTGGAGGTCCCAGCATGCCATCCACTTATCACCTGCTGTTTGAAGTTTTGAGGTGTAGGACCTACACTACCAGAAACCATGCTGGTCATCAACTGATTCTCCGCTCTTCTCTTCAACTACTGCCTGACATGGACGTCTACCAGTCTACGGCTCATAGGCTGGAATATATTTTACAGCGATCTTTTGGCCGACAGTACTGATGGTGTGACATGTTATTTCGAGTTCTGCCTGGGTATCTGCTGCCCCAGTGAAAAGCCTTTTCTAGGCTTTGATCGTATACCTTCTCCTCAGCGAAGGAAGCTAAGAAGAGAAAAAGAAAGACCATGCAAAGCAGATAATAATGCAGGTGGTCGTCAACTGAGCGTTTTGGCTAGGTTGGAAATTAAACGTCTAAGTCAACTGTATAGTTTGTGGTGACTCCATGAAATTGTGTATGAATGACTTCAATTAAAAATAATGTTTCCTTTTCATAGCTCTTCGCACGTTTAATACTTTCTTCCCAATACTTGTAAAAAGGAGGTTGTTCATCTCTACACTTTTTTGGTCGTGGCGGCTTCGCTGACTGCTGCGGCTGTTAAACAAGGGAGTATATTATGCTTCTATCCATCCCGACTTCTGCTTCCGTTAACTGTTGTTTGTCATGAATACCCACTGATCGTCTTTAGATTTTACAAGACCTCTTATTCTACTTGCAGCTATCACGTCAACCGAGCCAACCGACGTCGGCTGTAGAAAGCTAATAAGTATTGCCTTCTGAACTCTGGAGTATACTAAAATGCGGTGGACGGTACTGAGGAGATAGCATTCAAATAACTTGTTATTGTCCACAACAATGACATTACTATTTTGTGCATAACGCATAACTTTTCATATTTCTGTATCAGTGGATCTATTTTGCAAATTATACGTAGTTTGACACCTTGGTTTGCTTGACATTTCTTTGGGTCCACTACAAACAAGAAACTGTTATCATGTAAAGGCTCTCTCAGCTTTCGAAAACTTTTTAAAGGTCTTACCGGTAAGAAAAATCTGAGTAAAGAAGCACATGTCAACGTCTATGCCTTGAACAAATCACTCGCACATTGACACACTTACCGCATACTACTTTGTCTGCCTGTGTCCAATGGAGAGCGTTGTACAGAGTTCCCCGCGAAAAATGTTTTCAAATGTCTTAAATCGCTGAACGCTTCACACAATTCGGGTCCGGATGGTACGTCAAGCTTCGCATTCATGAGCCGGCATGTTCGACAGATCATTTATAGAAAACGGCATATCTGCTGCCTCGAAGGACTTTAAGATAGTCCACGTACCTAAGTCAAGAACTTCCGTGAACACGTACAAAACTCCGTGCGACTGCAGCTACCTCTCCGTTCTTAAAAATAATGGAGAAGCTTATACTGCCTGTGCTCCAGCCCTCTGTGAAGGCTTCTGAAGAACCTAATCAATTTACACATAAAAGCAGAAGAAGCACTTTGGATGTCACCACTCTCTTATATCACGACATTACCTATAGTCTTGATAAAAATGCCATGTCAGGTGTGCCTTTCTAGACTATACCTTCGCGTTTGTCTGTCCTAAGACCTTTTTTGCTGAGCAAGCTGACCGAGACCAATACTGAGCCCTGGATAACCAGCTGGCTACATTCCTGCTTCTCTGATAGGAAACAACATGCTGTTCACAGAGGGAAGCGTTCCACCTTATTGCTTACTGTGGCTGGAGTTCCCTAAGTCTTTTTTCATCCTCTCTGCATGACCTACCATCCTCAGCTGGTATCAATTTCATTAAATATGCTGATGACGTAACAGTTTCCACACCTATCTTCTCTTCAGCAGATTGTTCCCAGCCGAATGATTTCCCACCTACTGTTAGACGATGGTCCTCCATAAATTTTAGCTTCAGACGTGAAAATAACTCATGTAAACTGCTTACTTCTCATGATTCCTGTTCTATTGATAGTTGCGCATCAGAAAGTGTTACAAATGTGATTTATCTTGGTTTGTTTTTTAGGACCTTTCCTGGTCTTCATATATCTTACTAATTTCCAAAAAGAATTTCCCGCCTAACTTCCTACATTAGGAAGCTGATAAGATCTGGCATGACGCAGCCTCTCCTCTTGTTTTACAAACTCCTGCATCTTGCCTGTTCTCCTCCATTGCTCCCCCTTATTTTTTCTCGGGTTGGTGATTGAAGACTACGCTATATTGCGTATAACTTTGGAGATTGCCAGCAGAACTAGTGGTGTACCTCTGGTCTTTCTATTATTAACTCAGGTGAACATCCGCCAAGAGTTATTTCACCAGATGACCAACACCCCCCTCACTCGAAGCTCTCTGCTTGTCGGTCATTTGGAAAGGCAAGGAGCAAGTACATAAGACTCTATGCACGTACTACAAAATATAAAATCTACGATACCGTATTTAGCTCGTCTGCTGTGATCAAGAAAGTATTAGAAATGAACTATCTAATCAACTTCTGTTTTTGAAAGCAAACTAACTGAAGATGAGCGTGTTGCTTTTTCTACGTATTATGAGTCTAATTGTCAGTGTGATTGTATACCTAAACTGACTGTGCATTTCGAAGGAAGTTGTAGATAGAGCAAAATTTTTTATCTTTTCTTCATGTAATTTCTACTTATTTCATTTTGCTATGTATACATATACATTGTCGATATCAAACTGATGCTATATGACGTGCTGAAAATTCTGTGGAGTATTCCCGAAATAGCTCTCAGAATAAAGCTATTATTATTAATATCCTGTATGGTTATCGAGGAGAGAATGTATACCAGTTTACAGTATAATTCTTAAACACTTGACCAACTCTGAACATATAGTTCCACTAGAGTTCAGTGTCATTTACAGAATCAAAGATAATACCTCAAAAGGAGTACACTTTCGACAGTTGTGCACAGCAAAAGCACTGGCAATTCGCCAATTCAAACCTGATCACTGCGTGCAGAAGAAGTATGTTGAATCTTATATTTTACAATGGTCTTAACACAATTTTCGATCACACCATAATTAGTTAGTGTACTATTATCACATTTATTATGACCCTTGTTTTTTGCTTCTTCTTTAAAACTACCAAGTGGACACTTAATATTAGCAACTACCAAAAATTTTCATTCTGTCAAAGTCCTTGACTCTCTCATTATTTTTATTGTCTAAAAGATTATTGCGTAAATACTTTCCACTCTTGATTTCGATCTTAAGCACTGGTTAGATGTATCCTATTGTTCAATAAAGGACTGCTATACGTTTGTGATGCGACTGTACAGCTTTAGAAAATGATATCGTCGGAAAAGAAAACGCATTTCACTAACTTATCTCCTTTTCACTCTATATCTACATCCAACAGAGAACTGTATGCGAAAAAGGTGTCCCAATAGACGAAATGAGTATCGATGGTAGGAAGTAGGTGCGTAACGAAGAAAGATTTATAAAATACCGAAAAGTGAATGCGCTCGCATCATTCTAAATTTATAATTGGTTCTTACCACCTTGAGAACCTCATATACATGACGTGCACCTACCAACACAGTTCACACTAACACACATCACCGTCATGCTCAATTATCTGCGATTTTCAAAACGGATAGTTGTCAAGTAGTGAACTCTCGAGTGCACATCCGCTTACTAATAAGTCCTTCAAACAGCTTCCTTTCATGACAGCTGCTTGGAATACTATTTCTGTTTCATGGTTTACTTTCGGTAAATGATTGGTGATTACAAGTCAACCATGAGCTACCGATGAAAAAGTAGCTAATCACATCCTTTCTTGTAAAAATCTACACAGAGAAATTAGACTCTACTCTCCTAGCTAAAGTTGATACAATTGATGAAGATAAAAGGGAAAATTCACGAGGTAGAGAGAAATTCAAACCAACACGATAGACATAGAAGTACAGTAAACAGATAAATTAGTGGTAAGGAGTAACTTCATGCCATTACAATCATTTTTGAATCATGCTACAGGAATACCAACCACTTACTCCTAACACCTCCATCATAGGTAACTTACAATTATTGGTGGCCTGTAGAGCCTACTATGCTTTACAAATCTGACAGGATGTTTTATCCAAAATAATAACTCATATTTTGCCCACAAATTTTATTGGCTTCTTAGTCGTCTCTTAACCTGATGAAGACGTCTTAAGCAGTACCAGGATAACTGAGTTCAACAAATAGTGAAAATTGCAACATGCAGCTGTAACTGTGTTAAGCAATTTAGAAGGAAGATATATTTCCTGAACACAAATAACTAATGAATAGCGAATGCAAAAACCAAGCTGCACGCGGAATAACCAGGCGTTCGTCGATTTTGTTTCCTACACAACGTTATTCTCAAGTTCAATAGGAAGCAACCGACCTAGAAAAATGAAAATACAGACTAAAGAATATATGATAATATGCTTTTATTTAAGAAAACTCTGTCTATCCGAAATCCGTAATGTGAGGATTAAGCCTTCATGACACGTTCCAGTTCTGAAACACACTCTCTGACCAAAATTCTGGCTGTATGAATATTTTTCTTCAGTCTCTCAGCAGCATTTTTGTTATTTGCATAAGTTGGTTTGATATCTCGTCCCATTTCTTCAATGACCTGTAACAAATGTGCATACTTATTCAGATCATCCATTGGGGACATCACTGGGTAACTGATTGGTATGCCGGTATTCTGCGTCATGCTACATGGTTATGATTAAAGGATTTGAGTTTAAATTGAATAAATATAGCAAGAAATCGAATTTTAAACATGATTTGTATCTCAGTCTGCGGGTGTAGCCCCCAAGGCACCCGCACATTGTTACAACGCAGGCTGCCGTATGTCGTCACTCCGCCATGATTTCCTAGCCTGTTGGTCAGACAGTTTTCCGAGTAGCTGAACAGGGGTTACCTTTATTCCGCTGAACTTTGCTTCAATGGTCGTTGATGAGATCTGCTCGGTTATTTGACAATTCCTGTTTGATGACTGACGCTTAGTTCTGCTTCGGATGGCTCCGAGGGTTTTGGCGGTCTCCGGCCCGGAGAGATTCCCTCCGTTCAGGTTCTTCGTGAAGCAAGATGCCTAGCTGGCCGATTTTCTCTCTGCCGTGGTTTGGCACGGGTTTTTGGGGGCCACTCCAATCTTCTGGGCAAGGTTTGTCATGAACGGCCTCCTGCTCTCCTCACTTTGATGTTGCACCGATTCTTCAGAGCCCAATACGCACCACTATCTGTCCCTTTTTGGGGGTCACTTAGTTGCACCACGCCCCCTTCTTTGCTTTCAAGAGGCTCCCCGTGGCTCTTTTCAGCCGTAAGGTAAATAGTGATAATATTTATCTCTAAATATCCGGCCACATACCACTCCTACAAATACAAAAAAGTTACTATACAAATCACATGCATCGCTGTGACCGGGAATCTCAGCCCCCACTTGTTCTACCATCAAAGAATTCGAGCGCAGCACCTTTATATTAGGGAACATCGCAGCAGAACAAGTGTGAAAAATTTAAAAGTTCGACAACTTGAAATATCCTCTTTGCATTAACAAAAAGCCAGGGCTTGTACTCGACGTTGCATGTGTTACCCGGACAAAAATAAAGCTAATGCTTTCTTTGTAACACCTGGCACCTTTTATTCAGGATAACGGTGAAAATTCCACGAGGGAACATGTGCACAAGTTTTTTACTTATTGCACTCTATTGATTGTTCCATATCTATGGAATCCGTGTTTGTTCATACCATTCCACATCCAAGATTTATGATCTCACTGAATACTACGATTGGGAGTTAATTTCAGCATTCTGCAACTCCAGCGTCCAGAAGCAATAGGTTTGTTTGAATGCATCGAGCGGACTCCTAGAACATCTTGTCGTCATCTTCGTGGTTCTTGGCAGCCTCGTGGTCAGTAGGTATGGACCTTTCTGGTCGCTCCCATGACCCATAACTTAAAGGTTTTGACAATTATGAAGCTGTAGTTTAATGAGGACTCTTTGTTACTGTTTGTTATATTCACGTATTATGAATGTGGTAACGATGACAACCCTCCACGGAGGGTAGTTTCAGCCAATGTCCGTTCTTTAAATAGTTAAGTTTCAATGACAACCAGGCCAACATTTAGAACTGAAATGCTTTACTACGATGAGAAAAAACAAAAACAAGGTGGAAGGCAGAGAATGAGGCAAGAATTCTAAAAAGGAGTGTGTTTTTTATGTCCACGACAGCCGGCACTTACTTCGGGTCTACTTTGTAAGTTTTTGGCAGAGACCCTGATACGTTACTTCAGACGCAGATAGGAAGAGGCGGGATATTCTCCGAAAGCTCCGAAAACGTCAAAAGGGACAAACTGCGTCCATAGCGATATACAAAGCAACTTTGCGTCGGGCCTAGGTGGTTGCTCATATTCGATTGTGAACAACATTTCATTGACAAGGATAGAAATGATGTATTTTGATGGTCAGTCCAGCCAGTGACAGGTGTTTACTAGTCAGTTTAGAAACACGACGGAGACCAAGCCCTCTGACAAAAGTCAGATGTTAACCTGTCTCCCACACATTTGCGAGGGGAAAGAAGGGACAACAATAGGGTCATGTATCTCATCTCCTGCCGACCTTGGATATGACGAAGCAAAAGAAAACCCTTATGATTTTTTTGGACGGGGGCATATGAATGCTCGATCCCCTATTGATGACTAAGATAGAAACAGACACTAAACGGAGAATACTGTTGAGGCTAAGGATGAGTTCCCTGTAAAGTTTAGAAACGTACCAATAACGCTGTTGAAGACCAGCTGTGTTGCGGACTTTAATTCACCGGTCAACTTGGAGGCTATTGTCAGTCGGTTAACCGTGGATTTACAGGGTAGATGCGTTGACGTAAAAGATAGGACTGTGGTCACTTGAAGGGATCCTGGAATTGCAAACTCTGTTTGCTTCGTTGAGGAGAGAGCTAGAGTGACTGAGACGAGATACGGCTTGCTGATAAGACGCTCCTTGGAAGACGGTCAGATGAGGAGTCGTGACCCACCGTTGGGCAGTGTGTCGCACTGCAACTTAGTGAGGAGTACTAATCATTCAGTGTATGATAGAACCACACGTACTACTAGCTGCGTCTTATGTCATGACTCCCACAGTCTACCCGGATGTCCAATAGTACTGAAAATGCAGCTCAGCGAAAGAAGATCGGTGGTCAAACGACTTGGTATCTGCTACAATTTTTTAAAGAAGGGTTTTGCAATTTAGGACTTAAATGTTAGTTTAGGGGTTGCAAAGCGAACCATAACTGCGTTCTCCGAGCGACAGACGATGAGGCCAAAGTAACTGGATCGGCAACCCACTTGACAGGGGAAACAAGATATCCTATGGTGAACTTGGGAATCGTTCCAGTGAGACTGTCAGGTCGGAAGAGGGGTGTAGGGACTTATTAGATAACGGATCGGACACATCGTTGATGTTGGAGCACGCTGTCGGGGATCTAGCTGTTATTGGTAGGCAGTCCCCCATCAGCATGGCCACGCTGACTGGGACTTCCCGGCGCAAGCTCCCGGAAGTGAGTGTAGAATCCTACCCGCTGGATGGACGGGGCTCAATAAAAATACAAAACGCTTACACCGTTAGTCAATTATGAATATCAGGCGCACATGCTGTCTGAGCGGCAGGTTAAGGTCTGGAGCTATCTGAGGGACATCAAATTACCTCGATTACACAGTGATACTGCTGGAATCCTAATCGGATGTGATTTTCCGTATGCCAATCGGGCAATAAAACAGCTCTTTGGAAATAGAAATCAGCCATTTGGAGTAAAAACCTATTTGTGTTGGGTTGTATTTGGCCCAAAGCAAGATAAGTCCTCACGTAATGTTGCCGCCCGCCAGTGCTCTAGCAACCTTAATGTTTCAGATAGTCCAAGGAGACAGCCCAGATAGTCGGGGGAAATTTTGAGGTTGGCCTACCCTAGCGATTTGGCAAACTTAGTCTACCCAATAATTATGAAGTGGCTAAACGTAGACTTGAGTGTTTAAGAAAAAGGTTAGCTAGAAATAGTGACCTACTTGAGGGATATAAAAAGGTCAGAAAACTTTCTGGGGCTGCTGAATGTCAGTCGACTGGTCATGAACTTGGTTTGGTCTCGTTGCCTTTTTGCACAAACTACGTGCTAAGGAAGACCACAGACACTTCCTGTGCAGGAGAACGTAGTGCAACCAAAGAGATCGTTAATGAAAGTTTCTGTGTAGACTATTTAGCTGCAGTTGGTGGAACCCCACCTCTACTTCCATGTTCGACCGATTACAGGGCGTTTTTGATGGAGAAGCTACAGACCTAAACAGGGAGACCGGTGATTGTTTACAGGTTGTGCTGTCAACACCTCAAAGTGAGGGAAACCAGGCAGTACGGGAAATCAATATTGGGGGGACAACAACGGGTGGCACGTTATACTTACCTAAAGAATGCCCAAGAGAGATACTCAGCTATAAGGGGTCCAACTTAGTAGGGGCCAAGAATAAGCTGGATGAATACTTGAGAGAACGGAAACATGGACTGGTTCACAGCTGCTTGCCTAATTAGGGGTTTGGCTGGCATTTCGGTCCGCCGGGGGCAAGGCACGGGGGCGGGTTTAGGGAATGGATGAATCCTACGATCAAAAACCGTCCACCGGTCCCACCTACATCCAGGACTGAAGACCTAACTGCACCAACTTCTGCACGGTTACTAATGTTGAGAAACGACTTAGAAGGGTTTGGGGGTAGATGCAGGAGTGATAGATTTTCCATTGGAAGACGACAAGTTAACCGTCTTGCAGGAATAGTTTGGAAACGTTGGTCCAAGGAGTATGTTACATTGTTTCGACGACAGCATAAGTGGACGAATTTCGGGGGAGAGATCCAAGTAGGGGACTTGGTCACTACAGTGTCGAACATTGTGGATAGAAACAAATAGCCCTCGAGAATGGTGCAGCGAGCCGTATGTGGGGAAGGTAGGTTGGCTCGAAACGTAAGGTAAAAGGTAGTGAGGAAAGTTCCCGTTAGAGGCACTCGTAAGGTGTCACCCAGAGGCGTCGGATGAAGAGTAGTCCGTAGGGGACCCCAGGGGTACTGTTGCAAGTCTGGGGATGGGGGAGGAAAATGATCTGAAGCTCGCTTCTGATCACCCCATTTGATAGTACTGACATTTATTTGAGTATTTTTGTCCTCGCTATGGATGGTGTGCCTTTGACCCCAGCCGACGTAACATTATTTGGTTTTTTGACTGTCTCCTTTGACTTTGCACTAGGTATTTGCCTTCGTATGATTGAGACTTATCATGAGTGTTTCACTTTCCTATTATGTGATGCTAGACTATTGACAAGGTGACCTTGTTTTACTGGTTTGGTTCCGACTGCGATTGTGTTGCGAATCGACTGTTTGTTGCTTGACTGTCCACTAGAAACGTTCATTTGTTGATTTGATTCTGGTAGACAGAGTTTTGATCCCTTTCGTCGGGAATATTATTCTTGACTGTCGAGCGCTTGACAGTTGTATTTGTTTAACCAGTTTTTACCGTGTAGTACATATTTGCTCCCGAGAACGTTTCGGACTGTATAGTTACCCAACGGCACTGTTGAGGTATTTTTGTAATTTTGACATAACTTATCATTGCTTTGATAGTACCACAGGTTTTGCTACGAACCTGCCACTGATATTCTACAAACCATATTTTGATGTTTGATCCA